CGACAACCTATTGTAGATACATTTCTCGATCTCCTCAACATCCAGATAAACATTTTTCTATAGAAGTAAAAAAATACTATCAATAGGTGTTCCGGGACATTTTACAATTGAGCAAAAGGAGTCGGTTTGACTACAACATATACGACAAAGTAACTCGGACTAACAAGTTTTTCCACCGGCCCAACCACCAGCTAAGAAAAACCAAGACCGTAAAAAACAGAACCTGACAATCTGTGGACTACAATTTTTCCTCACTACTGCAAGAATCAACCGCAAGAGCCGAAAGTTTACACCCTCATTCATTGTTCCAGCACCGTTTGTGGAAGCGTCCAAAAATCCTTAAACCTAATTTTTCATTAAAATCAGTACTATTGATAAACCATCTACATGTCTGTTCGTTACAATAAGTTCAAATTCGTTTGCTGAAAGTTTTCAGTACACGTTGCCTGGTTAATTTGGCACACCCAGGAAAAAATAAACTGGTTTCCTCAGCAACTTTGTAAAAGCGTCCATAAGTTCCATTGCTATTACACAATTCCAGCCAGAAATTCCCATGGCGTTGAAAGTTTTGAACTTTGAAGTGGAGGAAGACGATGTGTAAATTATGCTGAAGTTGCACCAAAATGGGCGAGAGCTTAATGTTTGAAGACGCTGTGCTGTGTGTTTAGATGGGCTGCCTCAAACATTAAGCAAACTAATAAAACTGATTAATGTTCTTCGTCTGTTTGTTTTTCCGAGCTTACGTAATGTATATCAATCAATCATCATTTCATACATTATTCTGTTATTCCTTGATCTTTTGCTAATACAAATAGTTCAGTCATTTAGCAGAAAACAACGTCTGCTGCCCTCATTATCTTAATAATTAAACAAGCAGTTTGATTCACTTTAATTAACAAAAAGCTCATTAGAGATCCAAATGAATGTCGATTTAGCGATCGAAAAATAAATACAAAGTCATAATTGAACGTTACTTTCTTAATTGGATAATTCAATTCAACTTCAAATATCGATAGTCAGAATTATTTTAAGGATTAATCAGTTAATTAGTATTTCAATTAAAGTAATGAGCCATTATATCCGCTAAATCCATAAATGTTATGCAACTAATATTTAACTAATGCATGCAGTCAATCCGCATCAATTACATTCAAATATTTGCCTATTAAATAAAACGTCTATTTGAAGTTGCACTGTTTCATATTACAGAAGTAAAACTAGTCATTTGCCATTAGCGAATGTTCTAAGACACAAATTTTCCAGAAACTTGCTTATCTTCAATCCAAATTGAAATATCCCAATATAGACGTCGTCGCTGAATCGCTTCGAAATTCAAAATTGTTTCCCAAAGGGAATTATTGAATGATTTATAGGTTTGGAATAATTCAAAATTCAAAGAATTCCAACCATGTTCTTTCAATCTAAAGCGGGCTCTTTTCGTGTATTTGAATTTCAAATCTCCATTGTACTGGGAAGCAATATTGTCCATATACAAATAAAAAATGTTAGAATAATATTTTTCCTGTATCGAAAAACATGAAAGCTTCAAATAAACGAGGAGCTGCCAATTTTGTTTGCAGATGAGTTTTTTAACTGATGCTCATAAGGCAGATTTAACATTTCCGCATAATGATGGTGTTTTAATTAATAGACAATTTTAATTAAACACCCAACTTATTGACAATTCATTACAGAACAATGTTAAATATTCAAGTCTAGAGGATTTGAATATAATGAACACATGAATTGTGCTTAGTGATTTAAGCCTCTTAAGTTTTAGTTACCAATAATTTAAACGAACATCAATAGTTTTCAGATTTAAATCATGCACAGTCGGAATTCCAAGCGCTTAAAATGACCAAGAATCTTGCACGATCGGTAATTTTGGTACAGTCAAACTAATTATTTCGGATGTTCAAACATATCCTGATTCGGATTCTTATATGAAAGTTTCGAAGTAAATTAGAATTATTTCTGTAGAAGGATTCCATAATTTTTCTCGGTATGATAGTCATTTCATAAGTATTCGAAATAAATGGGGATGCGAACTTCCAAGCTCTAACAGAGTGAAAACCTGTTGTTCTTTGTTGGCGCTTGGGGTGAGAACGAGCGCTCACACCGCCATTCTTCTAAACTCGAGTTCTTGTTCCCCATTGCATTTTACTAAAAAGTACTGGAAAAATAATGAAATTATCTGCTCGGAGAAGCTTTCGGGTGAATTGTTAAAAGCTGAGCGCCTAAAAGCGCGCCAAAAGGCGCATTTTGCTCTAAACCGCGCAAGACTTAAATCAAAAAACAATATATGGTAAGCAAATTTCGGTAAGCACAAAGTTGTTTCTGGCAAGGCAAAATTGGACGATTTGCAGCAAAATAAAAATTGACTTACCAATTAAATTCCACGTAAGTTGCAGCACTTTGAGGAACTAGACATAGCCTCCACACACGACGGGCGCTGACTGAAGAACAGCGTCGAGACGCTGTGCGCCGCCAGCGCCCGATTTCGTTGCGGGGATGCTTCCAAATAGCAGACGGTCAATACTGACTTACCTGTGCACATTAATGCTGGCGCTTTACTCCTACGCTTCAAAATGCTGATTGGTGATAACAAAATGGAAGCAATTTAGACGAAATTATTTTCAAACCGACCTAGACTAAACGGGTTCCACTTTAAACTTATAATTTGCCATCTGAAAGCCTCACAAGCCTGTTGCTGTAGATCTAAAAAAACTGTTGCTGCCTACACAGAACGCAGCTTTCAAGTGGAATCATTTGGAGTCCAGACAGAAGCCAGATGCTATAGTTTGAATACATGTTCAGAGCAACTGTTATTTTGCAATTTTGAGCTAAATATTTGCTTGGTTATTCAAGAAAACAGCAGTCGATCAACCTCCTGATCATTTATAGCAAAACTTGTCCTTTCTAGCAGTTACTTCCCTCCATAAAAATTAAATCATCTTCTATTTCAGAAGTGAACTAAAACACTTCAAGCAACTAGACTTCTTGAAAGTTTTGTGAATGGAATTGAAGGTTCATAGCAGCGAGCCAATAAAAGGCAAAGTACAACTAGTTAAAGTTCACTCGGTACAAGATAGAATATCTCAAAAAATTGGTAAAAATTTTATCAATTTTTTAACACAAATTAGTCCGGAAAACCCATGATTAAAAAGGTGATACCTACTGCGATATCCTTTGGATCAAAAAGAGTCGATCTGACCTAAGTTTAATTCAGAAAACTATTTGGTTCCTCTTCAATTGATGCTGGAATAATTGAAAAAATGAGTTTTTTGAAATACTGTGAACTTGTTCCTAAGTAAGACCGATGTTCTGACGAAGCAACCGAGTTCATCCACGTTGGAAAAGTGAGAAATTCTTGAATGTTTTGTTACAAAAACTACCACCTTTTTGCACCAATCCTCGGTGACATTTTTGCCCTCTTTGTAAAGGCTTGTAGCATTCACAATGTTTGCTGAAAAACAATTTTTTTGTTCTCTCGCCAACTTCCAATTTTCATTCATGATCTTTTGCAATATTTTTCTAAAAACTCGTTTTCTTTCCGTGAGATTTTTTATGAACTCCATTGTGAATAAAACGCTTCCAAAAAACCAGGGCTCTAAAGCTTTGTTGGTCAGTTATAAATTATAAAACGCTTGCATGCAAATTAACTTATTATAAGAAACATTATCGTTTACTATAGCATTTACAGTCAATATCTGGATCAATCTTATCAATACACGGAAATGTTTTTTTGTCTCATAAACTACGATTTCCACAAGATCTTACAGATATCCCAAAAATGTCCAAAAAGGATTATTGCATCAACTCAAAAACAACAGTTTATTCCAAGGACTAAATAAAACCTTCTAGTAGTTTTTGCATAAAGGCACTGAAGAATTCATTAAAAAATTGACTCAAAGAATTATTAAAAAGTTGCGTTAAAATCCATTTTTCGTCATTTCAATCTCATCAGGAAAAAACAGCGGAAGAGCCAGACATTTTTTCTCAATAGATCTTTCTCAATTTTTCTCTGTATAGCAGTAATTTGAGATTTCTTCGAATTTATTTTCATTCAAGAAGCTTCCATTTCTTCCATTTTATTGACGGGAACATGAAACATTACACAAATATTTTTTGACTAACTGCTGAACTCACAATCTTGTCTAAATATTGATACGCCCCTGCTGCACTTAATAAAATAATCCAAATGAGCCATTGCTCTTAATTATCTTACTTATTAGATTAAATGCGTGTTTCGCCCTAAAGCCTTTAATAAGAACAAATGGATGATATAATGGTTTAGGGTGTTTGAGGTATTCTGTTGAAGGCTAGCGTAAGCACAATGAAAATGAAATAAATATGGGTTTTTTAAAGACTTGTTGATCGTTTCAGGGAATGTAATTTAGGGAGTTTGACATCATGCATTATAGTCATTTGGCCAAATTTCTGCGCTTTAAATAAGTAGATTAATTAATTTTTTGAGTTGTTGAGATGAGTTCAGTTGCGGAGTCTGGATAATTTATCAAAATAAAATCCATCGGCGGTTTAAAGTAGTTTATTTTGATTAACTAATGAAACGAATAACGGAAGATAAGCTGAAATATTCAACTACAGTAAATCATTCATAATAAGGTTGTTTAACACATTTTCATTTCTCGAGCAAAAAATGTGGAAGTAACGTGGGAGTTTGCAAAGAAAGCGGAAATGAAGATTTATCTCTTAGTCGGGTTTTATTTATTAGGAAAAAAGGAAGTCTTCCTTAAGTGCTCACAACGCAATGCCGGTTTAAGGGCTTTCCGTCTAATTTGCACATTACGTTTATTATGTTAAGTGAATCCTTCTCTTAGGGACGGTTCTTAATCACATTGTGTTCCTTCCACAATTTGCGAGTTTTGTTACTTACCACGATGCATAAATTGTAAATATTTTCTTTAATTTATGAAGTCGCAATGGACATATAAATAATTGATTGAGGAAATTAGCCTATTGTTAATAGAGAAAGAAAATAAAAGTGATTTCTTTATTTCAATAGCCGATTCACATGATTTAAGTATTTTGAATAATAATATTAACTTTAATGATTGCAATAAATAATGCATAACGTATTATGTTTTAAGGAAAAAATAATACTTTAACCGCAACATACGGTAGTCAATCTAACATACATAGGATACTTTCTACGAAATGTTTTCTCTAATGGATATTATTTATCACAAACTAGCATATCAAATAATTGACGAAACCATCTAACTTCCATATGTAAAACATTTAATTATCTGTGACTTTACTAGAACGTAAAAAATATATAGTGAAACTATAATTTTCACAAGAGTTTGCAGAATTTTCGAAAGTACGGATGCGACTTAAATAAATGGCTACATATAATAGTTAAGTTTAGTTTCGAGAACTGAAAATCAAATCTCTCCTATATTTAATAAAAGCTGAAGCCCATCTATTAATCCATTAATGCTCACATTTCAGAGTCTCTTTTAACACATTTTGAAACTAACCCAAAGGCTGAAGATAAATTTTCCTTGGACTTGTTAAGAGATGTGCTTCAGACTGAGTTTCTATTCTCTACGAATTAAGTTTCTCATTTTGCACCAAAGAAACGGACGGCGTTATTAATCCGACTTTACTTTGGGTAATAAGTTGGCCAGTGGTTTTATCGCATATGGATATTTTTCTTTGCTTTATGGCCGGAATTAATCCATCTTTGAAATTCTGAAATAAACCATACATTATTTGTTAAAAGTTGATTATGATGTAGTCTAATTTAGGTTTATGTAACGGATGGAAGAAATTCAGTTCAAACAATGGCCTTTCCTATTTTTTTTTAGTTTTTCTTACCTGAATAATAGAGTTCGGCTGTGTTAGTAGATAGTAAATGGCGTAAACAGGAACCCATAACATTGAAGAGAAACTTATTCCCAAACCAAAAATATTTGCCCACAACGGATAATTATATTCACCGTAACGCAACGTCTGGTATTCCATGCATTGCTGCACGAATATCACCTGTAACGAAAAGAATAATGAATATTTACTCTGCTATTGAATCGACGGGTTGGCTGTTTTCTTAAACCATTTTTGATAGTTCATTATTGCATCAGGCGCTCACTATATTTCACAATAGAAGTAATCGTTTATATCGCATGCTTGTGCAACGCCGGTTGTTTGGCCATTAGTTCTATTAATGCCACATTTTGTCATAATTCATCATCAATTTGTTGGCCAGTTTCTACTGCATTAGCCAATTGCACTTACCGCAATAACAATAGGAGCGCAATACTTCCAGCAAATCCTCCAAAACATGTTCGGTCTAGTTCCCATCATTTGTTCGATACAATCGCACAGTTTGTCAACTCCAAACGTCCATGAAATGGCCACAGTTTGAAAGAAACAGACCCAAAGAAGCGACATCCCACTGGCTGAATAATAGTCCATTAACTGGAAAACGTACATTCCGCCCTGCAAAAAAGTCCAAATGTCGTTTAAAGCTGGAACGGTAGAGCGCTTCATTAGGCCTCGGGCAAAGTGAAACGGTTTTTTTGTACGTACATGAGTAACCATCGGAATTCCCAACAGGAACATTATTATGCAAACTGTGGCAGTGAACTTCTGCCTGTGCGGCCTCAATACGGTCGACCAATTATCCATCAATCCAGTAATAAAAGATTCAACGAGGCAGAAAGCACTGTCTATTCCCAATATCTGGAAAATCCATTGCGATAAATTTATTGTCGACATATTTCATCGAAAACATGAATATTTATTAAGTACCTTGATCCAAATCAATGCTGATGGCAAAAAACACAGTTTTGTTGGAAAAAGTTAAAAGTTTCACAACACAAACAACGGCAGTTCTACAGTTAAATTTTCCGAAAATGTATGATAAATTGATCTTTTTCTGGATTGAAACCTACTAGTAGCATGATGAAAAATATAATTGCCCAAAACGGTGCTCCAGGCAATTTCAAAACGACTTCCGGATACGTCAGGAATACTAATCCGGGTCCGCTTTTAACCACGTCGCCTACATTTACATTTTGCTCGTGTGCCAAATGTCCCAGAATAGAAAATGTGACCACACCGGCCAGTACTGAAGTGAAGGTGTTGACCACACAAGTTATCACAGCGTCTCTAAAAAAAGCAAAAAAAATTAATCCCATGCATAAAATCCATTATACGACATGAAAGTAATCTAACAATTCTAACAAGGAAAATTCGATTCGATACTTTCGCAACTGCTTAGAAAATCTGTGCACGCAAAATCGGTTTTTAATAAACGGAACAACCCCCGTAGGTAGAATAACACCTTCGTCTTCTTCGGATTTCCCATCAAGCTAAGTTAACGCCCGAAGTCTAAAGAAAAATGCCTGTACCTGTTGCCTTTTCCTTTTGCAAATAGTTGCGCTTCCTTCAGGTTAATAGCATTAATTTTTCTAAATTCTGCTAAACACGTACATAGTAAAATGGCTTGTGGTAAACGAGCACGTTCTCAAGAGAGATTTTTGCAAAACTAATAAAAAATATACTAGGCAAATAGGTAATGGAGAATAGTACAAATAAGTCATTTTACTTCAGTTTTCAAACAGGCCTTTAAATTGTTTTATCTTTTTTTGCCTTAAGGTTTTATGTAGTGTTTTCTTATCTTACGTTTGCCTATTAACTTAAATTACAACATAAAATATGAATATTTTGTAAAATATGATTCTTTAATTCATTGTGGGAGACAATGTTAGCGTGCGGTTTTTAATTCGCCTTAGCGTTATTGATCGTTCTCTCGATAAATTAAGTGATTCATTAACAAATAAATTTCGCTATTTAAAGAACGCGGCGGTCAATATCCTCAACGTTAATAAAGCAATCTGCTTTTGCAAACAAATACGTTTAAGTCAATATTCTAAGTTTTCTATTAAAGTAAACCGTCAAATAAAATTTAAAAAACTCTGATATTAACCCAACATCTCAATTTTATGAGCAAAACAAGCATAGTGCTGTTGAGTAATGAATTTAACAAATTGTCGAAGTTTAACTGCTTTTATATCTGAATTTGTGATGGTAATTGGCATATAACTAAAAGTTGTAACGAGGGATTTTAATGGCTAAAAGCTGGTTGTTTAGGAAACGAAAACACTTCATCCGGATAATCATCTGCGTGAGCCCCAATATAAAAAATGAAAGTTTTCCCTTACTTATAGGAGTTATGGTGAAACTTGTTGTAAGATCCGAGTGCTGGTAAGGCTCCACATCCAATGCTGTAGGCGAAAAAAATTTGAGAAGCTGCATCGACCCACGGACCAGGTGTTAAGAATTGTTCCCACTTGGGAACAACGTAATACAGCAAACCAGCGCCTGCACCATCTAATGTTACAGCTCGAACCATCATCACGATCAGGATCAGGTAAGGAAAAAGCGCCAAGAACCATATAATCTGTTTAAAGAAAAATTAGCTGATAGAGAAAAATTAAGCCTGAAGAGCAAAATTGTTCAGATCATGCAAATGAAGATGCTCAACAGTCGAAAATTTCTTTTAACAATGCAGAGTTTGATAAAAAAAAAGCAGTCACGCAGTTTTTTCACTTTAATAACAAATATTTGCAATTTTTCACTAGATTATTTAATGGCCAGATCTTTGAACAAAAGAGCTAAGTCAATGTTTGTGCCTTTGCGAAAATTGAGACTAACAATTTTCATATAAAATGGAAGGGTGATACTCGTAAATTTACCTTACCGCTTTGATGCAACCCTCTCTTTATGATAATATATACCAATATCCAACCGATACATAAACATACGAATATATTCCACTGCATTCCGCCGATTTCCTCTAAACCACCTGAGATACCCAATACTTGTCGGCTGAAAAGAAAATACGGTTAGTTGCGTTTTCGACTTTCTCACTAATGGTATTTATTTGCCTTACTTAGTGTAGTGTTTTAAAGGGAAAAGCCTTGGAAAATGTCGATTATTACTTGTATTCGTTGGAATTTGAATTTAATAGTTTCATATTTTATAAGAAATAATTTTATCGCCCACTGAGTATAAGAGTATACTGAGTATAAGCATACGCATACTGAGTATAAGAACAAAACTGTTAGACAATTTTGATAAAGCTGTACTGTTTTCTTGCGCACTGATTTTGTGCGTTTTGGAGCCCCCAAGCCCTGGTGTACCAAATATTCCAAACAATAATTCAACTCATATCCAGGCGTTTTATCATTGAGTGATTAAGAATAGTTAAATTTATTGCACCGAAAATGCAAACCAACCAACACGCTATTGATAGACCAACAATCACGAACCCGTTTGCCGCATGATTTGCTAATTAAGTTCGCTGTAAATGCCATTTAATCATTGACTAAACGGCTATCAGCCGAGCAATTGATTTATGTAGATATTGGCAATTAGACTTACTCAAAATATTCCTCAACTGGTGAAAACTTCTTGGTGCCATTGACAAACGATAAATTACTGCCACTAGTAAAACAATCTTTGGTATTCCACAGGTTATCTGTAAGGGACTTATCAGTGAAAACCCCAAGAGACTGTTGCTTGATCATGACCTACCACAGCCTTGCCAGGGTAATACTGGTAGGTACGCAACAGTACTAATAATGTAGTATAAAGTCCAAGCAATTATCACACAATAATACACATCTAATAGGAACACTATGGTCATGGTGGCGAAACCTACACCTTTTAAGATGGGACATAATTGTCCAACAAAAGTCATCCCACCGGAACCCAAGTACTGGCCAATGGCAACTTCTTGGAAGAATATCGGAATTCCACACACTACCATTGCTATTGAATAGGTCACCAAAAATGCGCCTGAAAACAGTTGCATGTTAATATACAGAAACTTTCCAGGCTAAAAATCAAGCCTCACCTCCTCCGTTTTTATAGCAGAGATATGGAAACCTCCAAACATTTCCTAGTCCTACAGACAAGCTGATGCAGGACATGAGAAAGTCCAGTTTATTGCCCCATCCGCCACGATCTTCTTCCAGCTCGGCTGGTATCCGGAACATTATGGATTTTCCACCTTCTTCCATGGATCTTTCTACGAAGTCGTTTTCTTCATCTAAGTTCCGTTGTCGTTGGCTTTTTTCCATGTCGTCTTCGTCAACCCAAATTAATTTATTTGACATTTTATCTGGAACAAATTAACTCTTTATTGATTTATTGCTTTAATAAAGCTATCAGCTTTTAACTCTGTGTGCTTAATTTGTTGGCATAAGTCGTTCAACAACATGCATTGTCTTATATGAGATATAAAGCCGCGAGGGGAAATTACTTTGCTTAAAAGAGGAAAGGTTCATAAATTTGCACCTACCAAGGGAAATTAAATTATTTCAGTAGAAAAGGTGAACAAACTAACAAGTGCGCAGTTGGTCAATGAAAACCTTAATTTTTGCTACAACCTTTGTTGATTTTTTAAAGAACTGTAGCAAGAATATGCGAACTTCGTCTAAGTATTTTTATTTTGAGCATTGAATTGTTCTAGTTACTTTATCTGTTAAATATTTTAATGCAATTAATCTTTTATTTCACTGCTTGCTGTGTAAGGAAAATGTGCTCATTGAACCAAAAGGTTCATAGCTTTGCTCCAAATGCTTTGGAGCGAATGGAAGCCGAGAAAAAAGCGTTTTTTATTATCTAATTTGTTAATTAATAAATTCCTTGCACTTAAACAACAATATAAATTTATTGCTGATTTGCATGCACTTTTACACTCTGATTTCCTATTAGTAAGAAATTTTTCAAGATCGATATGTTGAGCCCTGAATAATACGTAGATAAAATGTTTCGCTCTGGGTGTGCATATTTCCGAAGCGATTTTAGGTAATTTGTTGCTGAAAGGCGCCTCCTAGAAATTAATTGAATTGGAGTTTTCTCTGATTTCTCTCGTCTCTTCTACACTCATTTCGCGGTGACTTTCAGTTCTAAAAAGCTTGCCAATAAAAGGCCAATTATGTTGATATTTATGTGCTGTTCAAACGACCATAAACGGCTGTGCCAATAGCTTCTTAATAATCCGCATGGAAAATAAACTGATACAAAAACCCATTCAGAATTTCAAAAGCTTTAAACGATCAAGCGCCTGAAGTAAATAAAGTCAATTTCACAGTCAGTTTCACAGGGCATGAGATAAAAGAAAATAGCTAAAAGTCTACTAGATTACAAATAAACTTAATACCGACCTTAACGAGTTTTTAAATTAACTTTCCATGCGGTCAGAGCAAATTCTGTTCTGGCGAAAAAAGTTTAAAGTGAATCCAGAATTAATTAATTATAATAGAATGCACTTTGAAATTGTCACGGTTTTTAAACGGAATGCTTAACTTTCAATTCAGCTCAAGCATAAATGCATTCGAGTGCAATCCCACTAGATTTTTCTATTAAAACATTTATTTTTCATTAATCATTATTCATTTACAACATACAGACGAACCAAGCGGTTTAATGTGTTCTTATTCACATCTTACCATATATTATGCAATCCATGACTAATCTAATCACTAAATGCCCTAGCGAATGCACCAAACTCAGCGTTTACTATCAGAATAATAATAATTAAATTTCAAAGCTTATTTTTAAATTTTGGCAGAAGCCTGAAGCGACTTTCAATAGGTGCAAGTTTATTTTCGTTACCCCATCTTAGACCAACAAAGTCCTCAAACACCTGATTTTGACGCAATCTTCAAAATCCTGCCAAACTTATCAATACTGGCGAGTTAATTAATAATTTCAGATATAATTAGCAGCATAATTAAATACATAGTTTCTACCAACAGGGAAAAATTAGAATCAGGGAGTTTCAGTAAATGAATTCGATTCTGTTAAAATCCAAGTGAGTTTTAAATTGGTATTGAACTTCGGCGACTAGAGGATTTTGAAACGAAATTGTATATTTCATCATCTTGCATTCAGTATGAATAACAACTGTTTTCCAGGTATAAAAAACGCGCGAGTAATTTGAGGAAACTACAGCTAATGTTTTTGTCGTTATATTAAAATATTGTAAAATTAGAGGAATGAAACAACATGAAAAAAATATTCAAACAAGTTCAAAGCTTTAGTTAAAAAGTACAAAAAATTGTGATAAAGCCTATTCAGCAATTATCTCTAACGAGTTGACGTCAAAATAGTAATAACACATTTCTGCTTGCTATTGTTTTCTTCAATCATTCTGATCGTGCTTGGAGCAATTGAAGAAAATTGCAGTCAAGCACATTTTCTATGTACTGTTTGCAATGTGGTGCATTCTGGATGATACCAGTTTTTTCTTAATTATACTGACAAATTTCAATAGGAAACAATATTGTAGAACACGCAAAGTTAATTAAAATCTGAACTTAAAAAGTTTGACCTCTGTCGATTTATTAACAATTAAAATTTACTTACTGGGGAATTTCTTGTCGTTATTAGTTCTTCGGGCAGCAACGGGACTTTTCAAATAAAATAATCGCATTAATTAGTAAAATATGTATTCAATCGATCATAGGAAAAATTGAATTGATCAAAGAAAAAAATAGTGTCATTGAACAAATGAATCATTGCGCGCTGGAAACGCCATGAATATTTTTACATTTTTATATTAATATTTGTTGGAGTGTCTAAGACTTACTAGTCCTTAAATAGAACTGGCGTACATTCACTTTAGAACTAACCCTTGACACTGAACCCAGTCGTCTAAATTTAGTCAACTATTTCGCGTACAATTGCATCGTTAATCTGGGTTTAATTGGAAGCAGTTTGCGCTTTTCAACTGGAAAAGTCAAGAAATCACCAACAATAGAAAAAAATATTGAAACTTACCAGAGCAGTTTTGCAGAAAAATATCAAAACACGTGCGCTAAACATTGAGAACGCGGGCAATTTTCTGAATGGTGCAGTTCATACTATAAGCACACATTCCTATTGACGTCAGTTCACATTCGCGTATTTTAAGAATCGTGATAAAGTAATACAAATATTGTGTAAACTTTTACAAGTTGCATCATTCTAAGTGAGTGCTTTCCAAAAACTCACATGTTGAGGTCGTTTTGTTTGCTTTTTGCCAATGAAAATCGTAGCCACACGGGATGGACTTGGGAAAAATTTGAAACTGACCGGATGAAGAGCGGTAGGCAGCAACTGTGTTTTTTTCGATCATAGTATCACATATTTTCAGCACCAAAAACACTTACAGACTGAATCTGAGTCGAAATGTTAAAATTTCCAGGTAACTAAACCAATTAGAAATTATTCAGCAATTGATTTGCATGTGATGGTTAAATTGCGCTTTATCACAGGGAGAACAATGTCAGATTTCCCAGAAAATGCTTGAAAACAATTCTAAATGATGGGCGTAATGTCGCATTCTGTAGCACAGTAATGATTAGGATTTTCGCCAACTTTCATCTCCGGTTTGACCAAAGGACCGTTCGTTTTAATTTAATTTGAATATCGCGCAAAGGCTCTGATGATAAGAAGCTTTCGAAGGTTCTTATCGCGTAGGCAGCGAGTACACAAAACTGTATGACCCGATGAACATCTGAATTTGAAAAGCAGGAAAAAACCCTCTAATGTTTTAAATACCGATTGCTTTCAACATCAAGCTTGCATTCAGACTCAGAAATTCTTGGTAGAAAGCCGACAATGACTTTGAAAACAAATTTTGAGGCATCGAGAGATTGAAAACTTGCTTGTTTCTTGTAAAACATTATGTCTTATATATTGAAAATAATCTAGCAAATCAGGGCAATTTTCCAGGTGAACTGCGAAAAGTGCGGTTCACGCAATTGAATCGTTAGTTAAATAATATATTGACAATTTTTCGATATGATAATGACTCAAATTGTGGAAAAATGAGAATCTCCTGTTTGAAGTTGAGCGTATTCTGAGTTCAAAACTCATTGCAGTTGCTCATTATTCACTATAATCAGATAGAAAATTCTCTATTACTAGATGGAAAATTTATTGAATTATCGCCAATGAAAGCATGTAAGCATTATAAAAAGGTCTGTTTCCCAATACTTGCTCAACTATACTGCCATTGTTCCCTTCTAAAGCAATTCTTAACTGTATTGCAAAATCTGTTTTCGCTGTTTGAAATATTTAATGGTTTTTGCTACCGCAAACTGAATCATTTTCGTAACTTGAAATTATTTTATACAAAATGCATATATTTTTAATGTTCAACACCACGATTATTTCAATCTTAATTATGTTATTTTTGTGAGTTTGTCTTATTAGTTATTGTGGAATTGAGCGTCGCTAACTATTGAAGATTTTGAATTAAAATTATGAATTTCATCATTTCATCATCTTCCATTGTATGACTAACAACTGTTTTCCAGGCATATTTAAAGAACGTACGTATTTTTTTTAGATTCTCTTTGTCAGTTCAAAATACAGCAACATTCAAAATGCGTACATTTATACAATCTTACGAACTTTTCAAATTTAATTATATTAATTTTTCCTCATTAGTTATGGGTTCTATCCTCTACTTTACATATTCACATTTTTTATTTCCTTCGCCTTTATCCTATATCTGTATAATATTTCATATCAGCGACAACAAATTTTAAATCAATCTAAAGTATTAAGTGAATGAACCCTTACCAAAAAAGTCTGCCGCTCACTGTTAAGAACAATATTCACTGCACATGTCTACATACAGACTGTGATAAATCCTACTATTCGTAGCCTTAATTATACAGTAATTTAAACGATATTATAATGAAACCAGACAATAGATAAACTTATAATTATTGTAAATTGATTCTATTCAAAAATTCAAACAACATTCAAGGTTAGCTTTGTAATTGGTACAAGATTTTTTTGGTAAGAATCTCCTACACAACTTGCTAGAAATCGGCTGATGAAATATGAATGGTTTTAACTGACCTGAAAATCTTACACGAAAAGGACAAGAAAAATAAATTTTCTACACCTCACGTCTTGATTCCCAGTTCAATTTCTGTTACTTACCAATCGGCTTAATGAACTCAAAAGCCTTCAACTGTTCAACAATCAAGTCCGATTTTTAAATTGGTCAACCGATGATTCTTAATCAAGTTCAGATCGAAAACTAAATCAGCTAAACTAGCAATTCGCTTGAAAGTAATTTACACCATCTGTTTAGCAATTGAACTGGAACACTTTTAGTTTTTGCAAACATATCAATCATGCCAGATATTTGACTTGCATTGGCTCAAAGGAAGTACATAGTAATTGGTTTTGTGACCTTAAATAATGCGGTAAATTATCGGGTTTTGTTATAATTAGTGTATCCCAATTATGCCCAATTAAAGCTGAGAAATGTTTGTGGTATAACATGTGAGAAATTTGAAAGCAGCCAGTGTTAAAACAACTGTGGCTCAATTTACAGCGCGAATCAAAATATTTCAAATATTACTGGGTACGTTAGTCAAGAATTTAAGTTCTATATATTGTTTGAGTTTTGAGTAAAATAAAATCTCTCAAAGTCCATGTACATCAAAAGAGAATCCAAGTGATATGAGCTAAAGAGAATCAATGTTGATTAATGTTAAATGTGAAGAAATTTAATAGAGAGCTTCAAGTTATTCCAACAGCTTCGGTACTGAATTTGCAAAGAACACCTTGTATATAAGCAAACTAATGCCACTACAAGACAAAATAATCGGTTTTTACTCAAGTGTAAATTTTATAATTGAATGCTCAAGTTCCGCATTTTCGGTAAGTTAATAACAATGACATTTCTGCACTTCCAGTTTTTTCTTGTTAAATCTCAAAGTCATGATAAAAACGCTCATTCTCACTCATTTATTAAATATAAAATATATAAATGTAATTAAAATAGTTGATCGGCGAAAGAGATTTTAACGTCTGGTTTGCATGCTTGGGGGAAGAAACGTTAAAAGCAGCTTGAATTAGAAACGATTTTTTCCTGAGAGCTTAAAGCATGCGTCAAGCTACATATCGACCAAATTTCAGCTCTAATTTTTCAGGCGCTCCTGAACTTGTGGCTGAAAGTTGCAGTTAATGCTCCAAGCTCTCAAACGAATGAGAAACAGTGGTCGTTATTCACATGTATTCCTTCGCGAATTTAAAAGCTTTCCTTGTTTCTGAGCTCATTTGATTTGTTTAATTTTTAAAAGCTTCCCAAATTTGAACTTGAATACAGCAAATAAGGTTTGTAGGATGTCCTGAATGTGCTCGAATTTTTATTGAGGTTACTGAAGTTAAGGGTCGCTTTTAAGTATCGGAAAAAAATGTTTGCCAACCCTTTGCTGCTGTCACCCAAACCCTTGCGCACGAATGTATCGATTTAAAATAAAATATTTACGTAATTAAATGAATATATCACTTACCAAAAGCACCGGAGAAGTTCGTATTATTCCATTAACCATCGCCACTGTTCTTCACCCAATATCCAAACTAGTAAATGAAAAGTGACTTTCAGCTGACTTCACTCGACAACCAATTTTATTGGAGTCCCTACATCTTTAAGCTTAGACGCGTTTTACGCCCACTGTTTACTAATTGGATTAATTAAACCTTTCATCCTTTAAAATCCGATAATCTTGACGAGAATTTACACAACATCGGCCGTTGCAACGATAGCAGGAAGACCAAAAAACTCCCCTTTTTTCAAGACGAGTATTAGATAACTAAATTTGAATATGCAAAAAGACTATATTTCCTCAAGAAAGGCCGCAATTGCCAAATAGGAAACGAAGCAAAAAACACTGTTTGAAAATTATTGCTAATAAATTCCGATGTATTGACTTAACTTAAAATGCCTAGCTTTCTAAATGCCGGGTATTTAATTGATATTTTGCTATATAACATAGTTTAGATATTGGTATCTTTTAAATAAACATATGACGAACTGAATATTTTTCCTAAGTCGTCCGGTATAGAAAATTAATTAAAATTAAACAATTACAACGGAAGGCAATAGGATCTCAAAACAAAAATGACAAAACAGAAGCATTTTCGACAAAATCTATTTTAATAACAAAATAAACCTTTGAGGCTGACAGGACAGTAATAAATAAAATAACTATTGTCGTCTGGCTGAGACGTTTTTAACATTTCTATATACATAAATCCTCCATAAAAGTCCATCACTTGAACAAACTTGATGCCTAATTATATACAGCTATCATGGCAGAAGCCGTCGGTCTTATTTGCACGTAATTTTCCAAACATTCATTAGAACGCTGTTTAAAAATTGCATAACGTTAGAGTATTTTTCCATGGCAAGTAGACACTCATTTCGTGGTTAAAAATTTAGAATCAGTCTTTATCTAAACATTCTAACTAAAGTATTATGTACACTTCCGTGTTCAAGCCTTCCGGTAATTAAAGCAGGAAAAACTCGGGTCCTATATAGTCCCCACAGGTGGGAAAATTGGACGGTGTTGAAACCATCTGATGTCTTTCTCCCACTTCTATAGCCAGGTCGAGACCTTTGCTCCATCCATGGGAATTTTCATCTCTTAGCATCCAAATGCCTGAAAGGATGTTGTTAATTAAATCTCTTATAGACACTATTTATTTGAATGTTACCTGGGTTTTTTGCAAGAAACCTTAGAATGACTACACCAAATCTCGGGATGCGAATGGTGTCTTTTAAAACTGGATTATTCAGATTTCTCTTCAGCAAACTGCCAGCCTGATCCAGTTCTCGAATTTCTTTTCTGCTCATCGGACGCTCAAACTGTCGAGATCCGACAATGTAGAAATGGTTCCCGTGGAAATGCAGAATATGTTCATCATCACCACCTGAGTGGGATTTTCAATAGGCAAAGATCAATATTTTTATACTAAGACAATGATTTTTCTACCCGCACCTTGTTCAACTATCATTATTTCCACCGATGTTCCAAGGTCGACAGCTTCCAAATGGACACATTCGCAAATATTCCTTTTCT